TTTTTTTTTTCCAAAAAGAGGGCACTTTCACTGCGGATCGGTAAAAGGCACCTATCTGTGCGAAAAGACTAAGGGCAGCTCTGCGGGAAAGTAATAGTATCTCAGTGATGTAGAAAACCCATTCGCAGAAGTTAGAATGCTTCCATCTGAATTTAAGAGCAGTGGCGCGATTAAAACTTTTTTTTTCCAAAAAGAGGGCACTTTGTGGGGAAGTGTGCAGCACAATTAGAGGAAAAAGTATCTTCGGAATTTATCCTGGGGATGTGTTTCCGAGGTAACGGCATGGAGTAATTACCTGAATTGGTAATTCAAGCTGTGGATTCTCATTCGGTGAATCGCGTATAGGAATGTACTGGAACAGTGCACGAAAAAGTCGCAATGTCGGCCTTTGGCGTAATGCCAGCAGTAAAGCATCCGATATGCTTGAATAAGCTGTTGTTGGTTGGAATGGCTGTTGTTGCAGGATTTGCTGTTGCTGATATGAGAATAACGATGGTGACGATGGATTTCGGGCACTAAATTGAAATGAGCTACCGCCACAGGGTGGTGAATTTGGCACTGATGAAGAAGATGGGTAAAGGTGATGGTGATGTTGCTGACGACGGTGATGACGATGCGGCTCCACACTGAAACCGCTAGCGGTATGAGCTAACGGCATAATGCACCTTGAGCAAAAATCCTGATAAATGATACATCACCGCTGATATTGCTTCAGATGTTTCTGGTGTATCGCCGTGCAGATGTAAAAAGATTTGCGGTAGAAATACAAAAAAACAAACGCTTTCAAGGAACTGAATCCTGAAAGCAGATGTTTACGGTTAGCAAAGTTCAAAAAACAACAGCAGTTTTTAGCAATAAAATCCAGGCATACAGAAGCTTTAGAAAGTAAATCTGAAAAAGCAGATACCTGATCAAGTGGGAGAGGAGGAAAATATCCCGTAGTAAAATCCAGCAAGTGTAGAAAACTGCAGATAATGAAGCTGAGAAATACAGTCGCTTGCAAATAATGAAACTCAAAGCGTAAGGTTCTGGCAGCAAAAACAGAAGAGCAAATTCCCCACGCGGCAAAATTCTAATCGCACAGAAATTTCCAAACGAAAAAGTCAGGCAGAATCAGAAAACCGCGCCATTATCGTGTATAAAGCTTCATTTTATTCTAAACAGTGTACACAGTAATTACAAACAAATGCTTCTTATTCAAGACAAAGAAACTAGTGTAGCTTTCGTGAACATTTGACGGACACTGATGTAGATTCAAATGGTAAGCACACAGGAAAGCCTTAGGAAGCTTTCAAGATGAATGTGGCCTAGACGCTTCCCGCGAATATTTTAGCTTAAGGTTTTCAAGAATCGTAATGGTCCGGAGGCAATAGTAGTAATAACGATGGGCGGTGGTAGCAGCTATGGCGCTGGTGGTGCTGTTCCCAAAAAGGGCAACTCAAGCGCCAGGAGGAGAGGAAGAGGCTTCTTCTTCAGCTTTCTACTTCTTGCTTCTTGAAGCGCGCAGCAAACCCTCTGCTGGCGTCTCCTAGTCTTAGTAGTGAGCCGTAGTTGTGTTGAGCCTAGCGCCTATAGTCTTGTATGGCTTAGCTTGCTTGCTTGGCCTGGCTTGTCCACTGCCTCCTACACTCCCTACCCTTTCGCTAAAAGACACGTTAGCACATCGATTTCCTCAGCCGCCCACTGTGCCTCCTTGTTTCCTGGATTTTTGTGAATGGAAGGGAGTTGGAGCCCGGAGATATGCAGGGGAAAGGGGGAAGACAAGTAAGCAGCGCCAACATTATGTAACACTACCGATTTTTTCCGGAACACAGTAAAAATGTCGAGAAGTCGATGCGCCGAGCGCGCTATAGACCAAGTGTTGCACTGCCGCTTTGGAATAGGGAGCCAAAAGATGATTTCGTGGCCAGAAGATAGCGAGCTAGCGGTGAATCTAGCCCAGTGCAAAAAGACGAGAACCGGCTTTGAACGAAGCACCTCAAAAAATTATGATACACCAGTAATGTGAACAACAGCTGCTTCTTTTGTAGCACTTGCAAACCAATTTCGGCAAGTTTCTCTTTTCCAATGCAGAGACAGTTCCTTATTTAAATTCTTGTTTGTTTGTCACCTTGCTCTCTTTTTTTTTT